ATGCTAAAATACAGCATTTTTGAAAAACTGAAAAAAATAAATTAATTTAGAGGAAAGTCACTAAAGTAAGCTTTTACCAAAGCTTTAAATTCATTTTTTTTTTCAGTTAAATAGACAAAACTTTTAATAATCTTTATTTTAGCAGATTTCAAAATAAAATAAAATTTTTAATAAATGAGAATATAAATTTAATTTAAAATATCATTTTATAATTACTTGTAATTTATCAATTTAAGCTTTAAAATAGATTGTACTTAAAACACATATAAAGATAAAAATACAAAATATAAATAAATACAAACAAAAAACAAAATAATAAAAACAAACATAGTAATTCAGAAACATTTTTGTCCCTGAATTTCTAACGATAACATATAAGTATTTAAATTCAATCACAGTTAAATTAAATTTCTTAATACTTTGTCTTATTATACAATTGCTTCAATTTTTTCAATTTTTATTATTTATTTTGGATCTAAATCAACTTTTAATTGGGTTTTTCTATCAACTTCAGTTATCACATCTTCATTTTGTATGCATTTTCGTATTTCATATCCAATAGCTACTCCGAGTGGCGGAGGTACTGCATTTCCAATTTGTCGATGTTTATCCAGTATAGTGCCATAAAAGCGAAAAGAATCTGGAAAACCTTGGGATCTGGCACATTCACGTACACTTACCACCCGAGTTTGTACTGGATGTAACACACGACCCTAAAAATAAATAAAACTTTTATAAAAAAAAGTAAGACGAAAATGTTAGTGACAAAAATTTTATAAATATTTCATTAAAAAGTTATGATAAAAATTAAATAAATTTTAATCTTATTTTTATCTGTAAACACAGTAATAAAATGTGTACTAAAAAATTTGTAATATTCTAAACAAATTTTTAATAATGATTTTGTACATATCACAATCTTATTTACTAGTATAGTTAACAAAATGCATGTGTATGTTATGGACTAAATGACTAATATGTTATTATTGATAATGCCTATTGACTAAAACGGTTGTGCAATCTGATAAATACTGATTAGTTTAACAAATTGACCAGACATTATAAATAAAACTACATTTTCTGTTACCAATTTGATTTTAAAAGAAAATACCACTAGAAATAGAAATACCACTATTTATGATTTATGATCAATACCATCTTTATAATACTGCTAAATATTTTTTTAAATATTCACTAATTGAGTTTAAAGTAATAGTTTATATACCTGTTTTCCCATAGGTTCAGGATTTGTAATAGTTGTACTAAAAAATCCATCCCATTCTAATCTACCATATAAACCTGCCCAATGATTATGACGATTTCCTGTATGTGGTAAACACCATGGTATTAAGGTATTAAATTGTCTATCTGTAGGATCACATTGCTTTCCTGTGCAACAACTACATACACCGCGATATGCTCCGGTAGAACTCCTCCCAACCTTTTTATCATCATGAGTATATTCTCTGAAATAAAAATTAAATATATACAATAATATATTGAAATATAGAAGGAAGTTGAAAAATTGTATTTTACTTACAATGTTTTAGAATAAGTACCATTATTTAATCTTACACCAATATTTGGCAAATCACGCCAGTCAGAACCATTAGCAATTGGAATATGGGCCATTCTAGCTTCTACAAGAGGTGCCATTTCTTTACATATGTGATCTCTTAATAATAGTTGATATTGTTTTCCTCTCATCTAAAAAAGAATACAAATTTAAAATATATCATAAATTTATTGTTTAAAAGGTGTAGGATTTTTATTGTGTGGCAAGATTTTTATTGAAATATTACTTTTTTTTGGAAATGTGATATTGGTTCATTTGTATATGACATTTCTTCTTTATTCCAACCATTTCTAATTTCTGGTAAATCAAACATTGCATCTTTGACACTGATTGTTCTAAATGGTGCTGATTCCGTCCAAATACAATTTGAACTATACTAAAATATTATTTAACAATTGTAATAATAAAGTTTAATATAGCTTAATATTATATAGCTTAAATTGTAAATAAATGTCATTATTTAATATATATAATATAGAATAGTATTATTTACCTTTTTATTATCAACCAATACACTTAACTGACAGGCACGTTTACTGAAGACATGTATAGGTTCTGGATATTTTGGTAATATTTGTCCAGGTGCAGCAGCTAGGATTATCATTCTACATAACATTATATATCATAAAGTTAAAACAATGTTGAAATAAAATTGTCAGAAATTATACATAAACTAGAAATAAACCTGCGTCTTGTTTGAGGTACTCCATAATTTCCAGCTTGAAGTATCCCAAATGTACATTGATAACCCATACGAATTAAACATCTTAATGTTAATTTTAGAACCATGCTTCTTTTAAAAGATACAAAATTTCGAACATTTTCCATAATAAAGAATTTAGGCCTATAGTAATCGCAATATGATAAATAAGAAACAACAAGGGAGTTTTTGAATAAAGAATATTGACGTGAATTGAAACGATTCATGCCACTAAAGCCTTGACATGGTGGACCACCACATAATAATTCCACTTGCCCTTTTTGAGGTAGCTTCTGACCAATTTCATTTGTTATTTCGCCCTAAAATATATAATAGTTTTATTACATCATAATTATATGTAATGTAATGTAATATAATTACGATTATAAATGTAATATAATTATAAATGTAAATACAATAAAATATAATAAGATATTACATAGATTGTGCCAAAATTATAGTAGAAATACATACAATTATACCTACATCTATAACTTTTTTTAATAATACATTACAATCTTCTGTAAACACTGTTGTATTAGGATTGTTTAATCGATATGCAAAAGCAGCTGGAGTTTCCTTCTCTATAGCCCACAGAGTCTCAGCTACACCCGCTTGATGTAAACCTTCAGTTAATCCTTTAAAATAAATAATTCAAAATATTTTCTTCTTCAATTTATTATATTAAAATTAATAGAGTCAATAAATTACATACCACCACAACCGGCAAATACATCTAATGTTTTTAATTTTTTCGATATTGTATTATAATCAACAGGTCTATTAACAAATGCTCTTTTTTCACTCTCCTCTGTTTTCTTCCCTTTAAATTTTAGGTTGCCTTTACTTTTACCACACCTACCAATACTCGTAGTATGATATGATGGCTCATCAAATGTTTTTTCTTGTGCATTGTAAGTTTCGTTAAAATAAAATCGATTTGGTCCTGCAGCAATCCATTCATCAACAGATTGATTTAAATTTTCAGAGTAAATAAGATAGCATTTTCCAACAACCTCAGGAAATTTGATATTACACACTGCAATATTGTATTACAACATGTACATATTTATACAAATTCATATCATTATAATAAGAATATGAAATTTTCATAACATGTACCTTCATCACTCCAATAAACCATATTTAGATTTGATTGTTCTGATAATGTAGTACCTTTGTGTGTATTTTCTGGTCTATATAATTTATTCACCCTAATATTAATATCAGAAGGTGAAACTAACATATCATTTGTATTAGCATATATTTTGTTTATATATCCTATACAAAAGGGGTCTGGCGTATCAAGATTTGAACCTTTCACATGATCAGAAGATTTCCTATAAAATTCGGGATACATATCTTCATCTACATTTTCCTTTTTTATTTTTGATGTATCTTGATATGTAGTCTTATATTTAAAATTAAAATTTTCTGGTCGTATAAATACAGCTGTTCCAACTCTATAGTCTTCTCCTTTATATTTTATTAGACCGTAAATAACTTCTTTACTACTTATTTCTTCTATTCGTTCATATACCTAGAAATATAAACAATTATAAATATTATAAGTATTATTGAAATGAAAATTACTGTTAAATATATTGTAAATATTTCTTCCATCATGTTACATGACATAATACAAGATTACTTATTATATTATGCATTATATTCATCTTATAAGTCTGCAGTATTATATACAAGATGTTTTACAAATCAGCTATCATAATATTTAAACTATTTTTAAAATTTCATGAAAAAATATTAAAATTAAATTTAAGACAAAGAAAAAAGCATTCCAAGTATTCCTTTTTTATATTAACAGTCGAAATTTTGTTGTATCTTCTCTTTATACTTTGTACTTTACTTTTTATACTGACATAATATGTAAAAAAATTAATTAAATAAATTATCTAAAAGAAAATAAATTATTTTTAAAATATAACTTGCACAATTCGTAAACTGTACTTCAAATAATAATTGAATAATTTCATTATGCTACATGATAATGCTATAAATTAAAAGAAAAAAATAAATAAATGAAATAAAATATTATTTAAAAAAAAAAGATATTTCTATGGTGTTTTCTCATAACAATATATTTCCCATTTGATAATAATAAATACTTGTTTGAAACATTTTCAGGTACAGTAAGATTTGGTTAGGACAATAAGATTTGACTATTTTAAATATCAAAAAGCCTAATGTATAGATTATCTTATACGAGTATAACATTATGCTATATTACTACACTATATTACTAACACTATACTACATTGTACTATAACAAAGAAATATGTTAATGTTATATACCTTTGGGGTATTGAATTGTTCTAATGCTCTTAATCGAGCACAAGCAGAACAAAACCGGTGAGTAGTTTCTTTACGAAGACATTGTAAGTCAGGTGAAGGGTCTTCAAATCTAGCTGTTTCAGGTATGTAACGTTTTTGATAAAAAAATGTTTTATTATCTAAGTCTTTTATTTCCTTCTCAAAATTTAAATTCATATTATCTATAATCAGAAAATTAAAAACATTATTTTAATATTTGTGTTAAAATCTTCATCAGTAAATGTTAAATATATTACCTAATTTAGTCCAATTTTCTAAAATATTTTTAAAAATGACAGTACATTTTGATCTGACAGATTTAAAAGGTATATCATCACAATCATCACTTAGAAACAATTCTATAGGATCTGATGTTTCTCCAAGAATAGTATCATTTCCCCTATACAACCAATTACCATGAAATTGTTTTATGCCATTTTTATTTTCCCACATGTAAATAACTTTAGCAACATGTGATGGAATTGCTGGATTTCTTGGTTCTACAAGTACATAATCATTTATTTCTATTTTTTCTTCACCAACCATAACGGACGTGTAAAAGGTTTTTAAATTATCACTAGCAATTTGAGCTCCTATCCATGTGATATCTTTTTTAAGTTCTTTAAAGACTTTTTTTCTACTTCTTTCTTCTTCAACATTTTTATTTTCTAATAGAAGTTCATATTGATCTTCATTTTCTGGATCAGAATCATCTGCTTCCTAAATAAAAAAAAAAAATATTTATTACTTGTAACTAGTACTTACGTTTAGTTACATAACAATTGTGTTAAGAAAACGATTTTACTTGAATTGCCATGTTTGGACATCTCCTTTTAATACAAGCTTGCTTGCTCCTTCCAGTTCCTCCAAATTTAATCATATCTTTGCAAGTATTACAAAGACCACAATCAGGTAATTGACAATATTCACATACTCCACATCTTTGTCTCTTAGGTCCCTAAAGATATAAAAAGAGACAAATTTATAATACATATTTAGATTTATTATTTAAAATATATGCATATTGTATATACTCAATATAGTAACATAGTAATAATTATTTATTACTAATATTTATATTAAGTTAGAACATATAAATACAAATATTAAGTTAAAAAATTGAATGCATACCATTGTTATTTTATCATCGTGTTTAATTAACTGCTCTGCAAATATACCTTCAAACATGTCATTAACTAATTGTGTAGTTGTTGCTTTTGTCCAAGCTGGTTTTTTAACTTTTTGTTCTTTAAGTTGTGTTCGACGAAGAGCTACTCTTTTTCCTAATGTGATGCCTGCAAGATTTGCTAATGCCCGCATACAAGGAGTTATGATAAGAAGGGTATCTTCAGATCCAGCAGAATCATCAAATGATAATACTTGATCACATATAAATTGAGCATGTCTTAATAAAGAATCTTCAGTGAATTTTGCCATGCCATTAGGTGGTACTATTGTCTGTAAAATTTATGATACTTTAGTATGAAATAAAAATATTTCTTAAAACTGTTTTAATAATGCACTTAAATTACTTGAAGTTTATTGAGTAAATCCTCATAGCTGGGGTTAATTTCATTTAGAAGGAACTCGATAACCAATTTACTCATATATATTTTTTCTTTAACAACATCCATAAAAGGTGCATATTCTTCAGATGGATCCATTAGAATATATTCAGCAAATGCTGTATTAAAGCCAATAAGAGCCAATTCTCCTCCATCGAAACCAGATACATACCACTCATTTATAGGACCCATATTTTTTGCCGGTACTCCATTCTCTAATGATGTATCTTCTTCATAAATAGCTTTCATATATCCAGAAAAATATAACTTTACATTTTTCTCTATAAGTCCAGTATCAAAAGCACACAAGTGTCCATTTTTATCATAAACACTAAAATTAATAAAATTACACAGACTTACAAAATTAATAAACTTACAAAGATATCACTAATGAAGATTCACAAATTTACTTATATACATAATTATTTTTACAATAGCAAAATTTTACCTAAAATAAGTCAATTTATTTTGAGGATGCTGATCATTTTCATGTATGAACGATTCATCTCCATTAAATAAACATAATCTTGAATCAATTAAAGCAATTTCTTCATCTAGAGCACCATTTGGGTGACCCGAATAAAATTTTATATCATCATTCAATTTTTGACGGCAGTATTCACATTTATTGTAAAACATATTCGTATTTTTAATTTGAGGTTTTGGTACAATTATAGTATCCTCAAATTTGACTTTTTTCTCAGGGTGTTCATCTGGATATTCCTTATTTGCTTCTGGACTACAATTTTCTTTATTTTGTTCAATATTTAATATGTTATTTTCTGTTTTAATATTTTGTAAGTCTCTTAGTTCTTCTTCATTACTTTTATCATAGTTTACTTGTTTTCTTTTAGCAAGTTGTTTAGAAAACATTTCAACTATAGATTGCATATGTTTGTTAGATTTTGATATACCAGGCTTCATTGTAATGTAACTGCAGTACATAAATATTTTCGTTACTTTCTTTATATCCGATAGTAATATTTTGACAGCATATCAAATTAATAAAACAGTTTTACATAATTTTTTAATTATGGCTAAAATATGTATAGAAGCTTAAAATACAAACAAGTTAATGAAAATAAAATATGTGCATATATAAGATATTTTGTTAAACTTGATAATTTTAGATTATTTATAAATTATTTGCTATAAAAAAATATATCTGAAACCAAAACTATTTAATTTTAAGAGGTATATATAATATAATAATTTGGTTTTTCTATATTGCTTGTATGTCAAAATATTAATTATAAATGTTTTAAATAAAATATTTTATATCTCTTTCTTTTTAATCGAAATAAAATTAAACATTGAAAAATATTAAATAAACATTTATATTATAGTGTACTTACTATAAAAATTCTATCATAAATAATAAATAAATCTAGCTTTATCAAAAATTGTTAACTATTAAAATCCATATGATGATTCAACTATTTCATGACTAATAAATACTAGGATTATGATATTACTTAATCCACTTTCCTGATTTTATTAGCTTTCTCTACATAAATTAACTTACTAATGTAAAAATTAACAAATTCAAAACAATATTTACCAAACAATTTATATTTTTTTCTTTATTTTTATACTTCGATATATATATTATTATATCTTAATACTTTTTTTTTATTGAATAATATTTAAAATTTAATGTGTTATAGTATATAAATATCTAATAATTGTATTATTATTTATTATTACATAATTATACATTTCTGTGCAAAGTACAATTATGTAGTTTATAAACATTTTTATTTGTAATATATGTAGATCATATATGCATACATTTTTAAATAATTTATAAAATAACTAAATATTAATGTATATTATATTCTTGTTTCTTTATGTTTGTGTGTGTGTGTGTGTGTGTGTGTCTATATTTTATATATTGTAATTAATAAAAATTAAAAACTTACATGAATAAATTCTTCTAATATTTTTTTAAGTTTTTATATGAATATATTAGTAAGTAAACAATTAATTTATAACACGTAAAATATCAATTTTTCTTATTTTAGAACATAACAATGTTATATTTCAATTTTGTTGTTTAAAATAATACACTTCTATTTATTCAACGTAATTTATATTTTGAATATTATAAACAATTTTTTCAATCTTTCGTATTCGTTATTCTTTTCAAGAGTTTAGTGAATTCTGCGTGTTTATTTTCCCGCCTTTGAACACTATTGCTAAAGTTAATATTTTTTAATTAATTGTGAGAGTTTAATTAATTTATAAACATTTTCAGGTTTTATTTAAGTTAAATATGAATTTGATATAAAACAGTTCCATTATTTATTGCTTTTGAAAATACTAAAATTTATATGTAATTGACATATTGAAATTTATAGGTTAAGTTTTTGAGATGTTTATTATAGGACTTACATCTGTTCAATTGTTTATAGTTCTACGCGGAAAAACATAATCTGTTTATATTTTATTGTGGTGTATTAAGAAACAAAAGCGTTAAAATTTATTTACACATTATTACAAAAATGTAGTTAAATACAGATAAAATTAATTAAAATATTAATATCATGCAATTACTGAAAAATATATATAATTTAAAAATGTTATCAATATTAAATACATATTAAAGTAACAGAGTATTCTTTATGTTTTGTTTAATTTTTTGACTGCGAAATATTCAAAAAGTGAGCCAATCGAGCGGTGCAGCCGTTCTAGTAAGCGTCGTAATATGCGGTATATTATTTTATTTTATATTGCGTGTTTTTTATTAATAAAAATAATTTATCTTTTCAGTATATTGCACTTATATTTATTAAAAGAGTAGATTACAAATAAAAAACATTTAATATAGAACATTTAATAATCTTTTTTTAAATATGATTTAAAACACAGATCAATACACAATTGAATATTGTAAACTATGAATTGGTAGTGTTTTGTTTCATTGCTTGTTTTTTACACAAACAACATACATTTGGTAAATGTTTCAGCTCATTCCTTTTGAATTAATATATCTCGGTGGAAAATGCCTTTCTATCAAACAAAATGAATTATTGTGCAAAGTAGTTCGTACCCCAGATTTGAATATTTTACTCATTAGATATTTTTTAAACATTTTTTTGATCAGGCATAAATAAAATTGAACAAATTTTAGATTTTTTTGGTCAGTTTTGTATGATACATATGTATTATAAATTGCTAAGTCAAACATACAAAAATTTTTATATCATTTTGGCATTTTGTGAATGGTATTTATAGAATTCAAAATCAAGTTCTCCCTATCAACTGCACTCATCATGCAATGCCTGTTATGTCATGCATTTTTTGAGTTTCTGTTTTACATTGGAAGAATGACAAATTGACAACATGAATATCTCTCTTTTATTCATCCTCTTCAAAACTAACAATGTGTCAGTGGATTGATATGTTAGCTCGCCTTTGTTTAGTTTATTGTTTATGGGTAATGGTCTACACCTAATTTTTCAAACAGTTCTGAAAGATGAAACTGTAGATATAACGAGGGACTTGTATAGCAATTATCGTTAAAATGTTCTCGAAAAGAAATTTCGTAATTCATTAATAATATGAGTAATTTTTCATAGACAATCGTTGTTCGTTGGTTGTACATTAATCTTTCATTATCACAAAAATTTAATATTTCCATTAGTAATAAATACTGGTTCCCTTTTATAATTTTTTTTAAACTTTCCATTTTTATTAATTTTTCATTGACCAATATTCGTCTAAAGATAATTTTTCTGCATATCGGTAGAAATACAGCGAGAAATCGATAGATTTTATTAATTGTATTCTTCTGTCAAACGTGAATGGTTGCTTTTATTTCGAACATATTTTTATTAAAATAATGAGTTTTTGGATTTAAGTTTTCTTGTCTTCGGAGAAGTTATCAAGGGTCAATTTCTTGAAAATTTAAAATATGCACTGTGTTTTTATATTCAAAATCTGATTTTAACGTGCTGCTTGATAATATATGTTTTTTAAACATGCGAGATATATTTCGAACAGTATCTCTGTATCTTAATTCTCTAATAATCTCTAAATTTTCGGAAACGGACTGCTCAAATTCATAGTTTATATTGATATGTTTATCTACGAGGGTTGTACTATTTGAAGAAAAAATACTGAAAAATGCTGAAGTGTAAGCTGTTTACACATAAACGACAGATAGACGAAGTAATCGTGATCTTCAATCTCTTGTTTATAAAATGAGCAGTGCTTATGGGGAAATCCTGGTGTAGACAGAAAAAAAATTGATTTTTTTTTTCATTGCTTTAATCAATAATACAACGTTCTTAGAATATATTTCCAAATTTTCAATGTAATCTTCGAAATATTAAAGGCTGTACAACATGTTTATTGTGTGCAAGCATGTAAGTGCTTCATGTCCTCGCACATTTTAAACGCATTTTTCTCGAAACCATTTTTTTCATAATTGGCGGGAAAGATATCTAAAAAATTAAGTTATTATTACATTTGAAATTTATGCTATTATAACTCCAAATTGCAACATTACTTAAAATATAAAAGAAATTTTTTTTACATTCTTATAGTTACTTAATAAAACCTCATAGTTTTCAGAGTAATCAAGTAAATACTTTCTTCGAAAAATATATCCAAAAATATACACGTTTCCAGCATTTTACACGAGGATCTCCCATTAAAGGTGTGTTAGCGTAAATAAGTATACAGCAATTGGCCGCCTCAAGGCGCTGTACGCATCGAGGAAGTATTTTTCACTTAACATCTAGGCGCCGCACGCAATCAAAAGGTTAAAGTGCTCTATTCAAAATGAAGCTTCATTGTAATGTAGAAATAAATAATAGATCATTTGCAACAAATATAATAAGAAAAAAATCACAACGTTCCATTTTAGCAATTGGAAAACCGACAATAAAAAGTACAGAATTATATATTCTTTGGCAAACATTACAAAATAAGCAGGCTATTAAATATAAGGTAAAAGTATCTAGTAAAAGTATAGTTTATAAGTTAAAATAATATGTTTGAATATCTATGAATATAAATATGTTATTTAAAGTATAATATTTTTATAAAATGTATATGTTTATATGTTTTTCAGATTGATAATAATATAAATAAAATATTTACAAAATTTATCGATGAAGGAAAGGCTACAATTCGATTAATACAACCACCACATGATTTAATTATTCAGTCTGATATAATTCAGCTAAAAAGTTTCCTTCATATTTTAAAACTTGGAATAACTAAAAAAATTGATTCATCAGTACTTGATATTTTAAATCTAAACCCAAAATGCATGAGTTCTGCTCCAAAGATTAAAGTGGTTGTTAATAAATCTTCAGAATATCCAACTTTGGAGGGTTTTCCAAGAACAACAGAAGAATTATATTTAGTAGGATTAAATAGAAAATCATTTGATAGACAAATTTTAAAGCTTCAAAGTTTAAGAATTTTAAATTTATCTAACAATCAGATTTGTTCTTTACCAAATGAATTGGGCACTTTACAGCATTTACAACAACTTATTTTATCACAAAATCGACTTCATAAATCTTTGAAATGGATATGGTTAGATCAAATTGCTGTAAGATCCAATTTAAAATTATTAGATATAAGTAATAATATGGTATGTTTCTTTCATTTTACATTTTTCTAAAAATTTTTATTATAAGTTTCATCTACCTACATTCTATCACAAAACATGTTTTTTTAATTCAGTTACAAAAATTACCGCAACAAATTGGAAAACTTGATGGCCTTATTAACTTGAAAGCGAGTCAAAATATGTTGACATATATACCACAAAGTCTTGGAAAGTTACATAAGTTGAAATATTTAGATTTATCAAAAAATAATTTACATTGCATGCCTGGAAGTATAAGGAATTTACATCTTATTTTGTTAGATTTATCGGACAATGAATTTCTACCTACAGATTCATATTCCATGTGTAAAATCGATGTGCCAAGTTTAACTGAATGTGCAGCCAAGTCATTTTTAAAAACAAGGTTTGTATGACATAATTTATGTAACTATTTAATTTTTTCATAATTATTCATAATTATCTTTCATAATTATTTATGTTTATGCTTGTCTTGAAATTATTAGATATAAATATATAGATAGGAAGTATAAAAATGTATTATTCTGTTTACATAGATGCTCATATGATGCAAGCATAATTCCAGTCACATTGGTAAAATATTTGGATGAGGCAAAGTATTGTATTTGTGGCAATCCATGTTTTCAATGTTATATAAGGAAATTAGTGAAATTTGGTTTAAATACAATAGCAACTACTACAAAGATATCACGAACTACTGTAGTACCATTTGATTGTTATTTTTGCTCAATAAGATGTTTACATTATGCAAAACTTTATTAATATAGAAGTTTAAAAAAATAATAATTAATATTAATATAATATGTATAAAAATATTTTATTTAACTGTCTAATAAATAACTTTTTCTAAAAGTCAGTATCCTTTTTTAAATACTCTTTGTCAAATTATATATGTTTCTTCTTATTTTGTGAATTTAAACTTATTGTGAATTTAAACTTGTTTCAAGCAATTCGTCTATGGTAATTGTTACATCTCATCAACAGTATTTTTTCGACAGTAGACTCATTTATTTTTATATTTAAATACTTTTTTACTTCAGCTGTCAATTTTAGTGTACTAATACGTAGATTATTTTTAATAATATTAATAATCCATCGCTTATCACGTTTATCTATTTTTCTTTATATATAATATAGATACAATATATATCCGCCTTACTTTTTATCGAAATCATTCTTAAATTTCTGTTTTTAAATGAAATATATTTTTACATGTAGTGAATGATGTTGGCTGTGACTCACTAGTTTAGTGTAGTTTTTGCAAATATCTTGAAAACTAGGACCGAATGGTCTTAGAATTATTGTTTAAATAAAAGTTATTCAGAATTTTATTCTCTATAACATACTTCACAATCATCGGAATCAATTTGCGTGATTTGCAATTTTTTCAGATTTTGTTCTTTGGAAAAATATGGCAAAAACAGATTGATTTTTTAAAGATATCCAATCTGTATTTCTTATTGATGCTAAGATACTGCAGGTTCTTTTTAAATTGGTAAGAAATAAAATGATTTAGGATAAAGTTACTACAGTAAATTTTTAACCTCGAAATATCCATTCTATAATAATATTTAGTGGTGTTTTATTACTCTTTCTTGCTCGTGTATTCTAAAAAAAAAACAACACATTTCCTTTCTAGAAAACATCTTCGCTTTTTTTTTTGAAATTTCACATGATTTCTATCTCTTAAATAAAGTTAGAAAGTTCTAAGAGCTTTGTAGAAGTTTGGGAATAGCCTTAGTCATTTATTTTACTCATACTTCAAGTGATGTTACTAATTTAAAATCTTCTACAATGAGTTATAATCAAAATCGTACATCACACATAAAAATATATTTCATCTAGTAATCAAATTTAGGGATAAATAAAAAAAAGAAAAAAAAATACAGCGGATATATATTGTAAATATATCTATATTTATTTCATATTAATAATAAAACAAATGAATCTTTTTAAATGCAAGAAAAATATAAAATTACTATGATCAATTTAGTAAATGTCACAGTTAAGATCGAACATCGTTGAATTGTTTAAAATCTTGTCTCAATTGAAAATCAATATTGGTTTCGGTTACAGTCTTGATTACATTTAACATCATGTAATTTTTCAGGTATCAATTTTCGATTTTACAAATTTTTCGATAAAATCGAGTTTAATTTTGTCTCATTTTTCTATCATTTTTTAAAAATCATTTTTGTTTATAGTCGTATGTTTCTTAATTCCGATTTCTAACTTATTACATATATTGTTTATAACATTTAGATCGACTGACTGGAGAAGTGTATTAATTCCTTTAGAACAGTTGTACAGTATCATATTTTGGCGATATGCGATGTACACTCGCCTTAAAATGTAACTTTAGATTAATTTTTAATTAATTAACTGGGGATTAATTTGTTAATGATGTTCATATTTATATTATTCTATTTCGCATTGTTAATACGCGTTCACTGAAATAACCCCGGGTCATGACCACCGCCATAGTTTAATGTCTACTTTACATTACTCGTTTTAAAAGCTTCCTTTATCTTTTCTCGACACATAATGTCGCCTATTATCTTTCAATATTCCAAACTAAAGAGAGAAATTTTTTAACGCCGACTTTTCATATATTTAATTTTTTCGCAATTGCAGATAAAGAAACATCGGCTTTCCAAATGTTTTCCTTCTCTCCTCTACAGACCGTTCCCATTTCCTTGCCATTTTCTCTTAGGATAACAACTATACTTTTACTAGAGATTATACTTTACAATTACAGCTATAGAATATAGGGAAAGAAAAATACGATTTATAGTACCATTAACTTACTTTCCATTCTATAAATCTGTAATAAATTAAAGTAAACCATGTCCCACCAATGATATTTTTCAAACCTACCTACGGCTACTACCTCTACTAAGACTCTGATGAGTGATAGAAGAAACAACATCACATGACATAGTAGCAAGATGTTTGATAAATGTTAGGAAACATGGACAGTAGTAATCAGTAGGCACCATTGTATATTCATTGTACTTTATTTTTTAAAACGTCTCAAAATTTTTTTAGTAGATAAAACATATTTTTATGTGTTGTACATGATTTACAGCATTTATATTTGTATGGTCTTAATCGTCTAAGTTCTTATTTAATTACAAAATTTATGTCAATTCATTTATCCTAGTAATTGTTTATTCTAATGCATGATCAATTTTGTGTGAGATATTAATTACTTATCACATTAATATCTCAATATTTCCAAAAAAAACCTACTTGAAAAAATGTTACAGGCTATTACCAAATAATAGTTAAATTTTGTATCTACTTGAAGAATAAAATATTGACACATATAAAAAGGTTAAAATTCATTTTTCTCGAATGTTTTGAAATGATTCATGAATCTACAATTACTCCTACAAAAGTTAAATGTGCTTCAATGTGCTTCTTAGGTAACATGAATTAACTTAAAAAATGATGTTAATGTCAACTAAAAAAATATATATACAATAAAAAATATTAGAGTGTATTTAAAAATTTAAATGATTTTTTCTAAAAATATTCCAATTCGTCAATTTTGTTCTTCATAATTTTAACTTTTTTCATTTTAAACAAAAAATTATTTTTAAAAGTAGAAAAATATAATTGGTTTATATTTATTTAAAATGGTTTTAGTTCTCTACATTCTTTTTTATAAAGTCAAAATTAGAATCCGTATTAATGAAATATTGTCGTGGTGTAACTATATTCTTTTTACCTATGTGTGGTACAGTAAAGTCAATATTTTTATATTTACTTTCATCTATATGACCATGAACTTGTAAAGATTGAACAAATACTTCTGGATCTTCTGGACACTGAACTAATTTCATACAATCTTCTTGATATAAAGTGTTTTCAGATGGAACGTTTTCTTTCTATTGCATATAAATATATCTTAAATTAATTATGACTATGGAAAAAATGTATACTTTTACAATGATTGATTTAGTCGATATTAATTTAAATTAATGTTTTGCACAAACCTGTACGTTGATACATTTTTTACTTTTTACATCTGTATAGTCATTTGGTATATCCAAATCTTTAACTGATATTATGTGGTTGTTTAGCAGTCCTTTAATTAGTGCATTTCTATTAAGTCCACACTTTTTTAAAATATCTTCTGCATCTTCTGTTCTTTTGTTTTCATTAGTTCTTAACATAGATATTGTATTACAAACTTCTGTAGAGGAATTTTCATGGCAATTATTAGGTACTAAAGTTTCTGGAAAAATATTATCCTTAGAATTAGAATTAGTTTTCATTTGCCTATTTTTCCAATGTTTTTCAATGTTTTCATTTGCGTAACTAATACCACAATTAGCCTATAAATTAAAATTTGTATAAATTTATGATAGTTTTTATAGTATAGTATGTATTTATTATATTTCTGAAATTACTGCATTATATTTACTTCATGTATAGAAGATGCAATTTCATTTTCATGTAAGGAACACTTCAGAGACTTATCATAACTCTGACTATCATCTAGATCATATAGCTGTAAACAATATAATATTCAGAATTATTAAAATATTTTCTTATTTATATATTTGATTAACAATTGCTGTTATATTTATAATGTTTCAATTATTGGTATTTCTATAAATATAAATATCATATATTTGAATCAAAGAATGTTTAAAAGAAATTTATTTAATTCTGAATGTATTGAAAGAAAACAATTACTAACATTTTCATTTGGTGGAGATTTAAGGTTCTTCAATTTCTGATTTTGTTTAAGTGCATAAGATTCTTTTCGACGAATAAATACAACATTTTCATCTGCCTGAGGTATTTGTGTTAACTTTTTAATATCAGAATACAAATCCATTATGAAAGCAAACTAAAAATAAATGATAAATAATAAAATTGATATAAATAATTATTTATGAATTTTTTATTAGTATACCTTTAAATTTTATTGATTGTAGTACATACTGTATTTTATTTTCTTCTCGCGGTTTAACTAAATAAATTAGTTTGATTATGAAGGTAACCTCACCGTTCCCCTTTATTGTTTACATACGGTTTGTTGTATTCTTGGTACTGACTCATAAGAGAATATTTTTTTATTTAATCGGTTAAGCAATTTTAAAACAGACTAATAAAATTATCGCATAAATAATTATAACATTTAAAATTTAAAAATAAAATCAAATATAGTTTTTATTATTTTGTATTTTGATATTGAAGTTTATAACATTAGATTAAAATGTTATTACAATTGTTATTTTATAACATTAAGATTTACGTAAATAATAAAAATTGTAGAAGACTACAAATAAAGCATTTTTATAAATCATTTATAAATCAATTATTCTTCATAAATTTAAATATTAAATGATACAAAAAAATAAAAACATTGTTTCAGGGGTGGATTTTGTGTCAAATATAATACTGTAATATTTGAAATATATTTATATTTATATATCTTAATATTATACACACTATTCACAGATAGAAAAAGATTATTATACATTAATCGAGGTATTGTTAAGAACCGTATGAACGAATATTTTACTCAGAAAATTTGAAAAATAAGAATATTAAAAATTAGTATGGAACGTTTAAGTTAAAAATAAAGAAGTTTATATTTGTTTAATATACAATTTTAAGAGTAAAATAAATACGTATCTCAAATAATTTATCCCCTCTACTATTTCAAATTCTGTGGTTGAATCATCAATGACGCTATTTGAGGCAGTATTTGTCAGTGAACTGTCACTCAAGTTATATTTATATAAAGCTTATTTTGCGTATTGTGATTAATGTCAATATGTATTACAAATGTCTAGTTAATTTATAATGTTTTGTAAATGATAATTGTTTAAATTTTTCATCACTTGAAGAACCTATTTCTACACGTGGACAATGCAGGTTAGAATTTAACAATGCGTAAAAATTGATTAAAGTTTAAGTTAATTGTTTTTCTAGTTGATAGTATACTTGTTAGTAAAGTATTTCTCGTTTTACATACCGTTATATATATGTGTTCAGAAATCGATAGAGGAAGCTAAAAATACTTATGTAAAATGTTTTATTTTATGCTTACATATACAAATATTAATGGTTTAATGTCGAAAATTGAGGACAAATTTACTATTGACATTATTTATATTATTATTTTATTTAAAAATATTTAAAGATTGTAAGAAGTAATTTAATATGGACATGTAAAACTTATTTTTCATTTATATCGTATTCATATTTCAATTCTTTACTTTTAATTTATAATAAATATTGTTTTAGCTTTATATAAAATTAAAGGTATAACTTATTAGTATCATGTAATTTCCGTTAACGGAAAACTTGTAATTTCGAGTATCAGATTGTGTAAGAAACTGATAGAGGCGGTAAATTTAAATCATGAATTTTTATAAAAAGGAAGAAACATTTTTTATTCTACTTAATTATTTTTAATATACACGTAATGTTTCATATTTGCATAAATATGTGAAATTCAATGTATCATATCAGAAAGGGTATAGCACTTTTATTATACATTTTTTAATCTTATTTTTTTATACAAAAATTGATATAACTGTTCTAAATTAATATTTAACTAACTAAAATATTTTAATATTTACTACATATATACGAAATATCCATAAGAATATTTTTTAATAAATTTTCAGTTCAGGATATGCTTTTTCATATTATAATAAAACAAAGTAGGAAAATTTAATAGTAATAATAGTAGTAATCGTAATCCTTACAAGATGTATGTAACAATGCATGAGATCTCGTATAATGAACTTTTAATTTTTCCCAAAACGAATTTGAAGAAAATGTAACATATACAGGATTACATTTTGATTGATTTATTTTACGGCTAAAAAATATGGATATTTTTATTTATTTAATACAATTGAAATTTCAATTACGCTGTATGTTTATATCAAAAAATGCAAATCGAAAATAAAGAAGTCACAGTCGGGGTGTGATGTCTGATCGATTCTCTTTAAACATTGATTCGTAAAATTAGGAACACTTACAGTATGTAATTAGTATTTATTCAGTTAGCGCGATATTTATTTATAATTAAAGATTTTATTTTTTATAAAAGCTACTAATTTCTATTAATATAAATAACGAATATTTTTTAAATATAATTCTTGTTAAAAATGCGTATTTTAGATTTAAACAATTTTTCATTGGACACGATTTACGTAACAAATAATTTGAAGAATTTTAAACTTCCATTGCCATGGTTTGATCAGTTGTTATATCCCAACATTAGGATTATATGATTTATTGTCATACTCAGGTCACGGATCATTGATCTCGAATCACAGATCTTTTTAATTGGTCAGTTGAACAATTAAAAATTTGCACAGGTTCGTCTTAGATGTTATTAGTATAAGGAAAATTTTTGCCGAGTTTAAAAACCTGGGTTGAAAAATTTTTTTATTGGTTTATTTAAATGTATATAATTTAGAGAATATTCTGCAAAACATAAGACAAGTTTTTATTCAAATATTTGGAAATAATAAATATATATTGCGAAGGTTTGAAGGTATTTATGTCGAAACAGGTTTTTTCAAATTGTCGGCAAAATAACTCTGTTGATATTTAACTAATATCCATAAAATTCAGTATACACATCGTTGTGCCGATTATTTATCGCAGTTGAATAAAATTTTATTTATAAAAATAGAACCAAATATTTACGTCAGATTTAATTGCTTCATTTAAAAAGTATAACTTTGTCAATTTTTCGAAATTTAAAAATCGAGCTCGTTACACGTTAATTAATATGATACTAATTAATACAATTCAACGTTCAGATAGGACGACTGTGAATGAAAAATCATGTCGACAGTACAGCCATGTTCACATAATAGTCATCTGCGAGAATAGTTTTGTAGGCCACGTAAAAAGACACTTAGACCTGACAATTTTTTGTATTTTAGTAAAACACGATCTTTATAATAAAAATTGGATAAATTCTGAAGAAACCTTTAATTACCCAGAAGAAAGGGAGGTTCCCCCTTTATTCATTTGCATCATACGACGTGATAAAAATATGTCCTTATCACCAAATTCTTTTTATTAAATTAGATTTACAAATGTTTCGAGAAATATTGTTATTAATACTCCAGTGATTAGCGTAGGACATAAATGAAGGAAGAGAGGATGTACTTTACGCAAAGAATTCGTGTCCTGTAATAAGAGGAAGAAAGAATTAAGAATTAATCTGCTCGTGACCACTGCTATTTAACTATTTACCCATGATATAAATACGACCAGAAAAGTTGCACGTATATATGTACACATTAACAATGCAAATGGTCAAGAGATAACATCTCTGTGATGTTATTTGGATACTTTGTTATTTTTTGACATTCTCTGTATTTTCAGGGACAGAAAACAGAATATTTTCTGGTTTTATTGAGAAGTATTTTATGACTCACAGTTGTGTGATGCTCTTCTGGAACCAAGTGTAGGTAATCCAGTCAGGTAAACCATTCTTGTTTCTTCAGTTTTACTCTCACTCCTTCCAATTGCTTCGATATACAAGGTGTCTCGGTTATCTCTGTTACAAGGTAACGACGAGTTATTGTAAAATTATCTAGATCTTTATAAGTACAAGGTGTTCCATTCAATCGGAAACAGTGGAATATCTCACGGAGGACTAAAATTATTAAAAAATATCCTTACGATAGTTGTTTAGCTCCGAGAGGACAAGGATAATAATATTTGTTAAGACGAATGTAATCATACGATTTAATTTCAATAGAATGACACGTTAAATTAGATTAACTTCGTTCGGTAGGTCTAGCTGGTAGGGTTTGGCTATGTAGGGATTTACGTTGATCTGACTCTTGTGGATTTAATTTATATCATTCCTTTCCCACTATTACTACTAGTACTACATCTCACCATTAAGCTAATTACGTATGTTGATGAGTGCTTGTTTGATTTTATTTCATCTCGAATACTATCTCGATATATTTTTTCATGGCTGTTTCGGTGCGATTTGTTGTTCCTTGTAAATGAGGAAGAGAGATTAGTATTATTCCTTTGTTAGTCTCTCCGACACGTATCTTTCCGTTGAATGATTGTGCGCAGTGACTCGGAGTTATTTCATTCCTTGTGAAGCTGTTATAGACGAGTAAATCTCTAATGTACTTCACTTCCTGGTTCAGGTGTTCTTTGCCGCTTACGTTTATCGCTCTTTATTTCTACGTTTATTATGCAGCTGATCACCGAGTTCTTTTGTGCTGCGTAATGTCGTGAGGATGTGTGGAAGCATCTGTTAGTGTGAATTGCTTTTCTGTATACCTGGTGACCTGCAGCTCCATCAGTTTTCCTGGTTATCAGGATATCGAGGAAAGATGTCTAGCTCTCTACCTATGTTCCCGTGGTAAACTCTATGTCGAGGTACAACGAATTTCTATAGTTAATGGAGATACGAAGCTAATCAAGCTATCTTTCTCATGATTTCTCACGATTCAACGCACATCAAATACACCTGGGTCTCTTTTTAGACCATGCATGCGTACCGTGCGAACAAAAAGTAGTGCAAAAATATGTCATAGACGAATCGATTTCTAATAAAATATAAGATCCGTGTCAAAGTAACGTAGACCACTATTGGACTTTTTCCAATATCCGGTTTTCTCGGTTTGAGGTATCGAGGAGAGTTGGAGATGAGAGATGCTCAGAAGTAAACTTACCTGTTGCCAACTCTATCTCACGTCATAAATTGATCATCCCAGTTCGTATATACTTTTAAGGACGGCAGCTGATTAATATTCATAAGTACAGCGTGTAGGAAAAACCGTGCAACTGCGGATGAAACGTGTAAGACGGACTGTGTAACTGTGAATCGTGTAAAAAAAGTATGGTGTAGAATGAGATCTAGGTGTATATCATCTACATATTGTACAATGTTTGACTTACTTTGAGGGTTAAGTTTCTCGAAAATTTCTCTCCGTGTATTTTACGCAGATGTCGATAATAATGGACGAAATCAGCGAGTCCATGGTGCTGTTGGATATTTCTTCGTACGTGTCTTGATAGAGGAAACAGGTTGACAATAGTACACGCGGTGAGGTGTCTCTTTGATTACTTCTTTTTCATTGTAGGGCTTAACATTTTCCGTATATAATTATTCTTTTACTATATGTTATTTCTATTTTTTGGTTTCTCGTTTCTTGACGACACGTTGTACAATTAGTAAATGTATTGCTAATTTGCGGTATCACTTTATACTTTCTCGGATCTTTGTTGCATATGCGTCCATCCGATCGCTTTTGTCCATCTCAGACTTGCCATTATCGTATTCTGTTACTGCCAAAGGTTTCATTCTCGCAGGAAAACCGTGATGGGTGGAGGAATCCGAATTTGATATTATAATGCGTGCATGTTTCGTTGATAACATTCTCGCATTACGGACATCTCTGTTTCAGCACTATACCATTAGTATAAATACCATTAGTAGCTTCTCACGATATCATTTCCCCTCTTTTCAGTGGGTACGACATAACAAATTGTGGCATATATTTTTTGTTGGGAGTTTCAACAACACGTGTCCTCAAATTTAACAATTTCAGAGCTAGTTCGTAACTGTAATATAAAAATTACGAATAAACAAAGTAGGGCCTTCACTTGGCAATTTTTCTGCAAGTTCGGTGTAAACATTTTTAGCTATACCGACTTATCTGAGTACTTACCTGATTTATCCGTGGTATCCCGGCCAGCATATATTTTTGCGAACCATGTATATCCTTCTTTGGAACACAGTTTGAATAATTTTATACCGTATTTATGCGTGTTATACGGTGTGTATTGTCTAAATATTAGTCGCTCCCTCCAAGAGACCATTGTCTCGTCGACTACATTTGGTCCCGGTGGAAATATTTTCTGATAAT